ATAAAAGAATATTTTTTTATATTTTATATTCCGTTGTCATCTAATGGTAAAACCAATGTTTGCGTCTACTAATACGCTTACGACTCTTTTGAATCGTTATCTTTACTCAATTTTATATACGTATTATTGGTTTTTTACACCGTTTGTCAGCTGATAAGATAGTACATGTAAGTAAATTATTACACCAACCACCTATAGACCCACTGGTCACTCCNATTACACCAACCTCCTATAGACCCACTGGTCACTCCCAGCATTTTTGGAATTAGTTTTCATTTTATCAATTGACAACTGTGTTTTTAAATTATTTTATTTCTCTTTTACCGTGCTCTGAAACTAGCGACATCGTCAATACTTAATCGTTACTACCTAATTAAACGACGTGAATTTAACAAGTAAGCGTTTTCATTTAGTTAACTAAATTTACGAAAATTTTTTATGAATAATATTGAATGTATATTACACATATACAACTTATGAGTTTAATTTTTTAATTTCAATAATTATTAAAATATTTGTGTAATGAGCCATAAGTATAGACTCTATACTTCTGACCAGTAGTGTTCCCATAGGGTATACTACATGTACGCCGTACAAAGCCCCCACAAGGTGGGTCAGTTGATGCCATGGTTACGGGGCCCGGCAGAAATATGAATGAGCAAAAAAAAAAAAGCACTTTAAAAAAATAATAAGGGCCATGTTTCATTTACAGTACCGTACCATAAACCCAACGCCAATGTGGGGGGCCTAACGCCGTATACTCTCAAGTTTTTTCTAAAATATCAAGGCTATACTGCATATACTCTCAAAGTTTCAAACAAACCAATATAAAAAAAGAAGAAATCCATAATTTTATTACAATTTGAGTTAATTTTTGACTTAATAATCTTATTTTAAAAACTACCTTTTTTATATAGGTATTAAAAATGTAATAGTTTTTTTTTGGGGGGTTATCAATTATACATCTCTCCATCACTTTTATCGAAAAAAATAAATAGATAGGTACCTATATTTTGGCTTAAAAATATAGGTTTATAAAATTAAAAGTAGTAAAGTCTCATAAAAAAACTTTATAAATCTTTTATGATTTATTACATCTATACCTTATGTTTATAACTTATTGTCTATACACGTATAGACATAGTAAATCGTAAAATACAAATAATACCTAGATATTAACATAAGTTAAGTTCGTAATTATAAAATTTTTTTATAGTAAACCATTAATATAATTCTTATTGAAAATACACATAATGTAATCTACAAACTAAATTTATGCCAAATTATATTTAATTTACTAATAAATTTGAACTTTTTAGGCACACTGACTGCCTAAAGCCAAAGTTTATATACAATATATATTGTACAAGTTATATACAAACAAGTCAAAATATGTAATAATTCGTAAAATTGTCGAAATTGGCATATTTACCAATATTTCATCATATCAGACGAATCATATA